CCAAAATGTAAATATTTTTAGGTGCTGATTTGAACTTAGATGAGGCCCTGAGGATAACATTTGCTATAACACAACGTCCTGGGACACTGAACTTTAACTTGGGTACTGCCTGTTAGGATTTCAGACATACTTTTTTTAAGAAATTTTAATGAACTAAACATGCTTCTTGGAACAACAACAACAAAAAAGATTAAATTAGACTTCAGTGGTTTCCTTTAAAAATCAAATTAAGGTAGCTTTTCATTGTCCATATAAAATACGCTAGTATGACATTAATTTTAAGACTGATCATACGGGCACACGAGTCACGCTTGTAGTCCTAGCACTCTCAGAGGTGAAGGTGAGCAGATCGCTTGAGCTTAGGAGTTTGACACTAGTCTGGGCAGAAGTGAGATCTCATCTGTACTAAAAATGAAAAAACTAAAAAAATTAAAATTAAAATTAAAAAAAATGAATAAGCTGAGGCAAGAGGATCATTTGAGACCAGGAGTTTGAGATTGCTGTGAGCTACGACACCATAGCACTCTGTTACCACTCCGGGGGTAACAGAATGAGATTCTGTCTCAGGGAAAATGGAAAAAAAAAAAAAAAAGACTGACCATAACTTTGAAAGAATTATTTGATTCTCATAATGTATACTATGTTATATTACCAAGGAATATAAATAACAAAATGAAGAGTGCTATTTTTCAGAGGGCTGCTGACTTTAACACACACACAAATGACACAGCCGATCACAGGAACTTCTAAGACATTTACATGACAGAAACATTTGCATTTTAGGATGCTTTTCCTAAAATCATGAATCTTGTGATGGTTTCATCAGGTTCTACTAGTAAGTTGTTTTGCATAAAATATTTTCTTATTTTGAATTGGGTAGTAAAAGAAGAGTCTCTTTTTTAGATATACAGATACTTTTCATGCCTTTTAATTACTCTTTGCACCCAATTTTAAAACATAACTAAATTATGGTTTGCCTAGGGTAAGGAATCCAAACTGACTACTGCAGAAACTATGAGCATCCCCAATGAGCAAAATAATAGGGAAATTTTATATACATATATAATTACATATATTTAAATATGTAATATATACAATATATAATATATACAATATATAGTTATATATTATGTAAAATGTATAATTGTACATATGTATAAAATATAATTATATGTAACTACGTGTGTGTATATATATATATATATGATTACATATATATGTAAATATTTAAAGTAACTGTGACCTTAATATGCCCCAGAAAATTGAAGAATTATATAAGTAGTACCTATCTGATTTTCTGGCTGACATAAATGACTAGATATATACGAGAGGGTTTGTCTATTTATGTAGTCCTAGGATTAATCCTTATAGAATGAAGAAACCACAACATTAAAATAATACCTGTAGTTAGCTGCTTAGGAAGAACTGTAATGAAGCCACTTACTGCAGCTCCCCACTACTGTGGTGAACACATATTACGGTAGAACTTTGTTGTTGCTATTTTAGAAGGACAATCTACATTTCATTTCCCACTTAGACATTTATAGGTTTTTAAAATTATACAAAACTCTCATTTTCTAAGTATTTTATTTAAAAATCAAGTAATTTGTAATTTTGAGGCCTGATATTATTTTAATGGGCCTAAGGGAAATAAATTCCCAAGATAGTTCGAAGATGTACAAATCTTCAAGAAGTTTAAAAGATAAAACTGCTGGTGACATTGGTATAATTAAGGCTACCTATGCTAATGTAGTTATTTCTTTATAATTTTTTAAACTAAATGTTATTGTATAGTACAGGATCCTCCGAAGTAAGTATTTTTCTAAGGAATGAAGAAGAAATTTTTGTAGCTATTTTTCTTTTTAAAATAAGTACAGTTTATTTAACATTTATTTTTAAATGTGGATGTTCTAAACTAACACTATATAAAGTTTAGAGACATATAAAAATTAATCCAATAATGAAAAATTATCATGGGTGCTTAAGTCATATAAAAAAGTCAGAAAGCCACTACTTGAACATTCTTCATATTTCAGAAAAATATCTTTAGTATTCATTAGGATAGAACAAGTCTATGAAGGCTGAATTGTGCAGAGGAGACATAACGTACATTCTTAATCACAGCAATGAGCATTGCACGACGTACTTTAAATGCTAGACTATTCCATATTTTGTCTAAAATATAATTCGTACTTTTAGAAATGGCTATTAAGTGCCTGGCACCATTTGCAATAAATGAAGTTCCGGTGATTTATAAAAATTACCGTTTTAATTTCTGAAACATGGAATTAAAAACTCTTCACTTTTCCCATTCATTTCTTGGATTTTTATCCATTGTATAAAACTCTTAAGGCTATATGAATTACAGGAGGAATTCTTGATTTTATGTTCTACAACAAGAAAATCACTTTATTTCAACCCTATTTGTTATATCTATGACTTCTTAAGGTACTCAATGCATTGCTCAACACTAAATACATCTGGACCTCACAAAATTCAAGTTATATTAGACATAAAAATTTAAATTATAACTGATGAGGAAGTAATTAAATATTATTGACTAGAAGGACACTGGACTTTATACTCTCTAAGAACAAATCATTACTTATAGAATGTTACTATTTTTAAAAGTCTAATCTTTTTCCTGTTACTTTCCTCTCCCTATATACAGTAAATAATACATTTAAAAACTCACTAAATCTCTGTGATCTACAAAATCACCCCAATATAACAAACCTTCACTCCTAGGCTACTGGAGCTCAAGCTGAGTCCGTATAGGCCAGCTACAGCTTTCACAATATTACATTTTAGCTAAATATAGGCAAGATTTGCTTTAACAGGAAAATAAGGCACATCTTAGCAAATACTGGAATAAGATGTTCAAAAATTAAAGAAAGGTATTCTCAGTAAATTAAATAAAGTTTCTCTTAAAAAATAATACTATGGTATATAAATATATTTATGGCTTTCTCTAATTGCTTATATAATTTGTATAATTATTA